TGAAGACGGGCCCGGCCTTGAACCGGACCTTTGGGCAAATCGGTGACATTTGCAGCTATAAATATCGATTTCGAGATGATATATGTCTTAAAATCTTGATACCTCGGCGTTTACGATTAATGTTTAAGTGTGAGGTCATCGATGGGCATTCATAGTGACCATATGGTCATGTATATATTTTGAATTGCATATTTGCATTGTATATTCGTTTGAATGAATTCGTTTTTAATTTTAGTATGTTAAGTTAAATTAATAAGGTTAACATTTTCGCGTGAAACGTAAGCTAAGCTTTTGAAAAGACAATATACATTTTACGTACAATAAGTAAAATATCTTTAACGTGGACCTAGATTATTATGTTATCTGTATTATTAAAATATTGAATAGGTTTGAAAATTTTTCATTTACGATTGTAAATAAACTTTGGGCAAGTTTTGACCTATCACTGTTTTTACTTCCGAGTATTAGTTAAAATAATATATAAAGTATTTAAGTGTTTACGTTAAGAATGCATGCAACAGATGACAATAATCCGATTAGTGTTATTAAATCCATGTAAATAAGATGAAAATATAAACAAATAAATCAAAGAATGTTCCAACAAATCATTTACATAGATTATGCTTATATTCATTTCAAATTAATAAATACTCTAGTCAAACTGTTTTGGAATAGTACAATAGAATTTTAAAACCACGCAAAAGTGAAAACACAAAACAAAACAAAACACCGATGACAACATTTAGAAAAGATCTAGTAATCGCGGTGTTTTACAACATTACAAGTGTTAAAATCCGTTTAAAAAATTACTGTAGAATCAACAAGTTCGCGTGATCGACTGGAGTTCGCGCGAGTGGGCTATTAGTGGTTGACCAATCCAAATTACAACCTTAAATCTCAAGGGTAAAGGTGCTGACACGCTACCAGCAATAAAATAATCATAATTATTTTATTATAATGTTGCTTTACTGCACAATAGTATTTTCCGATCTACGTCTAAAAGGTTAAAATGTATTCATACACGAAAAAAAAATCAAAAATCTTGTGTAAAAAAGTACTGCTTTCTAGTAACAGAGATGAATAGTAAAAATTATCAATCAAAATCCTGTGGTTCTCAAAAATATACTAATCTGAGGTGCATCTTTGTAAACTTACTAAGGATTTCGTACTAATTAAGATAAAACAAAAAAAAACCCTTAGCGAAAATTTATCTATCCTCGTATATGCTTTCATAGTCCCACCTAAATTTTTACAGAGCAACAGTTATATCTAGCTGTGGCTTCCAAATTTGACTATACCGAGTGTCGCCACAGCTTCACGTGATTGCTATCAAACGTCAGATCACCCGCTGGGAAAATCTGAAAATTGCCTAAAAATTTTATTGTTTTTGGTCCAGCCGTTTTTAGTCAAAATCGATCCAGCCGTCAGTGGCCACGTATACATATTGTCTTTTATAGATGTTTTAATGCATCCATTGCTGTGAAACAGTTTTTCCACTTAACAAAAGCATTATCAATGTCAAAGCACATTGTAGTCACTTGCAAAGGCTCGCTCGCTCACCCTAGTCTGAAAAGGGCTTTGCGAATCGTTGACACCTCATAGGCTCCCGTCAGCCGTCAGTTACACCGTCAGCGGTGTAACCCAGTAGCAGTTTAAAAATCACCATCATTTACTTTAAATTACAACCGACATTATTGTAAGTCAAATTTAATTATCGGTCTTTCGCACCGCTAATATTTTTACCCTTTACGCGCTATTAATTTGCTCGACTGTTATGTTTATTTAAACATAGAGTTTTAAATGTTAACATTGAAAGCGAAATCACTTACGTGCGCACAACATAAACAAAGACAAAGAACAGTCACGAATATGTCAACGGTGTCGAATTTTCATAGCGGGATATTTAAATGTAAATGGACTCGGAAACGTCACTTTTTTATTTACACGAATGCTACAGATTGTTAAATGAAACTTGTTAAAATATATTAGATACATTAACAAAAAATCTTTTTAATTTTTTTTAATAAAATAATAATTTATACTTTTAGTACCAAATATAAATTAGCACAACAAAATAATTTAAGAACTAAATTGGCGTCTACGAAGCACAAACGTTATGGTAGTATTATCGGTTTCTAAAATATTTGGTATTTTTTGTTAATTAGTAAATACTATTTTGATTCATTAACACATTGCTGATGCTGCTGACGATTTTCATTACACGCCAAAGATATAAGTGCAATAAAGTAAACTTTATGAGTAAAGTGGGCTCCAACATAAAATAAAAACATGCAGATAAAAATTTAAAAATAAAATTAAACTTTAACGTTTAGGAAAAAAGGACACAAAATTAAGTATATTTTCTAAATTTTATAATATACAGATACTTCATATGAAAATTTAATGGGTATTCTTTTATTTTAAAAGTGCAAACATTTTTATTTATTTTACAAAGATATCGTAAGTCATATTATTTTTACGGTTAAGCGACAGTAATTAGGAATCGTTTAATATTACACATACCATACACAATACACAGAATAACAAGACAATTTCACAACAATAACAGATGATTTGTGGTGCATGAATTTAATCACGGCAAAAGTTTAACCTAAATCCTTTTATTTATGAGAGAGTCACACGGAACACATGGTAAACGGTGATTGTGTATACAATGGAGGCATTGTATTGAAGGATAATTTTATATATACCATGAAACTTGTAGGAATGAAAATTGTCTAATTCTAGTAGAGCTTCATAGTCTGATAAAACTTTCGTATTAATTTAAGTATTTATATTTCTGAGGAATAGTTACTTGAATTGGCAATGGACCGGCTGTATAGCCCGTAAAACTCATAACTGGGGAAGAATGGTTCTCGGGTGGCAGTCTCGTATTGGCTATCGCAGTGTAGGACGACCCTCCACTAGATGGAGTGACGGCCTGTACAAATGTGCGGAAAGTCGATGAAGATCGATTGTGCTTGGTGGCAGTCTATGGGAGAGGTCTTGGGAGACGCCTATATTCAGCAGTGGACTCGAACATGCTGGAACGATGATTAACTTAAGACTGTCGATAAACAACCCTTAGTACGGTAAGCATTGCAAAGTGAGTGCCAATTTTTAAAAGCGCTACATATAAGTTGGTACATGTAAAGGTCTATACCCCAGATACATTAGGCAGTGCTAACATTGGTACACGTCATATTTAATTGATCCAGGCTATCAAATAACAACACTGTCCTTTTACATTTTGCAATTAACTGGAGAACATTATGAACGACGCTCATTAAATATTGACAAAACGGTATATTTTCAAGGTACTTATTTGATTGATTATTAGTTTTAAAAGTTATAGGAAATACAAAAATGATTCTGATATTAATTAAAAAGAACTGAACGGAAAACGCATGAATAATATATAATAAAAGATGGGTGGGCAAAGCTTCTCTTAAACACCATTTTATATTTTTCATGTTAACACACCTTAATATTATGTTATAAATATAACTGTAAAACTTTCATTTATCTCAAATTTCCCAATATTCCCACAACTATCCTATAAAACGAAAAAAAAATCTCTCAAGACAAGTGTGGTTGTAATGCGTTTAAGAATAACCTACAGAAGAATCTCGGCCGCATCTGTTAGATACATAGACTATAATTTCATATGTCAACATGAATATGCCTATATTAGTAAAGAATAAAAGATATTTGAAAATTATACACAGATACATGAGCATATGTTGTTTAATTCTCCGACCATCTGGCCACGAGCTTACGTAATTATACACTGTTGCTGGACAACATCGTTTCGTGGATGCAATTGTAGAAGATTATTCTAACTACGTAAGGACAACTTACATATTTCGAAACGCATAATGGCTCCATCGTTTTCTTAATTGAGTTGCCAGATCGAGTTTTTGGAGTTTCGGTTCCTTAAGTTGAGGGAAACCGGTGATAAATGTTGCGACACATTTTGGGATATATTTTAGTAACACGTATATCTTACAAAAGTGTCTCAAAAATTAAAAAAATCTAGGTGGACAATGAATGTGTCTCTTGTGACAGAGGGTGTGGATCCATGTGGGTTAGCTTTTACAAAATGTTTGAAATTGTTTACACTTATTGTTTGTAGATGTTGGTTATCTAGGATTCCGATATCGAAACTGAAAACTAGGTTAGGGTATAAATTTATACACACAGCAAAAGCTTTACTAAGCAGTTTGTTAAATTCAGATTGATTGGCATATAAAGTGAATCGACGACATGATCAATTGACAATTGTCTATACAAACGAGTTCTAACATTAACGAGATTAAAATCCAAGGTTCAGCACGTGGGGCGTTTTTTAGCCACCACGTGACCGTTTCGCAATAGCAATGAAAGAAGTTTTTTCACTGCGCAAAACCACTCGGAGAAATTTTCAAGTACACGCCCCCGTGATTTCTGCAATCCGGGCCAATCGATAATATTGTACAATATATAAGGGACCAGTACCACTCATAACCCATCAGTTGAATTACAGACGCAACCGATATCACAATGCAAATCGCTGTAAGTACATAAGCACCTCTTTCCACAGGAGAGAAGAATTTAAAAAATGCAGTGATATCTCAATTTTGTACGTCGTTTGCAATTCTTGGTATTGAGCATCTAAATTGCTAGATTCTTTTCAAATAACATATCAGCTGACCTCTGCATAATTTGAAGATGAAAAATTTGCGACGCTTATTAGAATCTTTCTTCAATGTCAGTTAAATTAACTGTTTTGATAACCGACCTCAATTACACAAATGGAACTCGATCGGTTTTATTTATTAGAAATACAAATTATTTATTTAGGAAAATAAAATTCTTTTTGTAATTTTAAATGATTAATTCATGCCAAATTTCACTTCTGATATCAACTTGGTACAGATATTTCTTTTATGATAATTGTGTTCTAGGTATCCTATATTTAAATTCCTCTCTACCATTAGTGTCAACTTTTATTTAAGGTAATGTTCCTGGCCACCATAGCCTGTGCCGCAGCGGCACCTGGCTTCTTCCTGGCAGAGGAACCTGACTACGTCCACCTGCCTCTCCACAAGTCTACCTTCACCTCCAGCAGCCAGACTGTGGACCACGGCAGCACGCACGTCCTCCACCCCATCCCAGTGGTGCACACCGCACCCTTAGTCCACGTGCCATCGTCCATCAGCACCCAATCCCACGAGAGGACCTCCTATCACGCGCCCGCTGCTAAAACCACAGTGACCAACAGCAAGCAGATCGTGGACCATGGAAGCACCGCAGTCTACCACGCTCCCGTTCTCCACTCCTCGCCAGTGGCTTTCCACTCCTCACCAGTTTTGTACCACTCCTCGCCATTTGTCGCCTTAAAGACTCCAGACTCCGCAGTCTCTCATCACAGCTCCACAGTCCACGAGACGGTTCCCGTTGTGAACTCTTACCCGTTGTATGCCTTACATTAAGGTTTCATTTCATCAATTACTTTTACAAGGTTAAATATTTGTATTACATATTTTATACGTACGTGAATTTTACTTATTTACCTTTACGTTTGTTCGTCTTTACTCAGTAACGTTGGCCTATTTTCGTAAAATACGTAATTGGTTTACATTTCAAATGTGTATCTCGATTTGCTTAACCAAAGGTTTTTATATTAAGGTCATGTAGTCTCGACTGAGAGGTTCTCAAATGTTGACAAAAGAAATGCGCGTATTAATGCCAATTGATATTTATTATTTGTTATATAGCTTGTTATACGTTATTACTATATTTGGAATTGATTGCGTAGAGAAAAGTAAAGTTGGATTCCTCTATATATACTTATATCCATTACAATTATTTATTGTGAACATTTATAATGAATTCACGCTTTTATTACTCTGTAAGACATTGTAAAAGTAAAGTAGCATTCTATAAATATCCTACTGCTGGATAAAGGCCTGCTCTGTATAGAGGGCATAGTGAACCACGTTAAAATTTAAAGTTAAAAGTTAAAAGATTTTTTTTAAATAATAACATTATTAAAATAATAATTTATCTACTCTCCTTATCGTCTTGTCAAATGTTGAGACTTAATCATTTGACAGTGATATATGTAGAATTAATATGCCTAAATACAACTGGTCTAATCGGTTTGCCCGTCAGTTCCATCGATTAAATAACCTGTAACCTTAGTCAGTTATTAATGACTGTAAGTCTGAAACAAATCGTTCTTAATGTATCCTTGGAGCCACCTAACAGGTATTTATAAGTGATACACCGATATTTAGCTGTCAACTGCCGACTACCGTTACGAAATTGTATTATTGATAACTTACTGCCCCTTACGTATGCCACATTGAATTAGTAACGCATACAGCCTTTCGAGGTGAAAGCGAAAACATTTTCGGTAAGTTACTGTAAAAAAAAAAGTAAAGTAACAACCTATACATGTCCCACTGCTGGGCAAAGGCCTCCTCTATACAGAGGGTATGCCCACACGCGGCCCCCCCCGCACTGCGGATTGGCGGAATTACATATCTTCGAAATAATTATTTCGAAAATATGCAGGTTTCCTTTTTTCGAGGTGATAAGTCAGCGTTAAAAACTTCATTGGTGCGGCACCGGGGATCGAACTCAGGTTGCTCGAGTATATTGAATTAAAGGCGAGCGCCCGGACACTGAGCTATCACGGCTCAAGTTACTGTATTATCCTCCAATGGCTTTTCGCCGCTAAACATGAACAATAAAAGTAGTTTAGTAAAAGAAAATATTTAATAACCGAATTCGAACACAATTGAGCAAAAGTATTGTACAGGCAACGGGAGAATTGAACTTGAGCTGGACGGAAGAAAATGGAGACAAATTACATATTGTGGTCACGATCCCCATTAGTGAGAGACAAAGGAGAAAAAGAACAATAATTTGATACTAAAACCGAATACCGAACTTTGGTTGCAGTTATAAATGGTGATGTGTAAAGTATCTGAGTGAAGTACAACTGAAGATAAAAAGTATACAAAATATCCGATGAATTTATTGCCGCAGTTATTTAGATTTTGACTTTTAAGGAACCAATAACAAACGTAACCATGCATATAAAAAGAGATTTTTGTTCGGCTATTAAATATATAATTTATTAATTCCTTATTATTACCATAAACAATGGTTCCTAATAGCGAATTACACAAGGCATTAAACCTTGGTGTAATTATTTCATTGTAAAAAAATATTTAAACGAATCAAATAACTTAGTTGTTAGTGAAATAACTACTAAAACCACATTTAAATTTGGTTATTAACATGCCAAAATGTTCAAAATCCCACCCGTGTTTAGTGTTGTGGACATTTCATTTTAAAATATAAGATTGACTTGACACTGACTTACTATATTGGTATTGGTAAGCGTTTTCTGAGATCTGATCTACGTCCTCACTTCTCGATACGTGACAACCACCAGATAATAGACATACCGTTGCTTAAAACCCTGCCACAAGGCCACGGTGTCAAAATAAGCAGTAGCTGCTGCCCAATCAGAAATATTAAGTAACGTAATATAAAGTTAAGTCCTCAGGGGGCTGTCAAATCAACACAACCATTAATCCTCCCGTTAAGTAAATAAAACCATTAACTTGCTCATCCCAAAAGATTTTTACGCAAACGCGCACAAAAAGCCGTGCCGCAGACAAGCATGTCCAATTTATTCGTAACGATTGTACGAATGTTTCCAGGAATAGGGTATCCATAAATACCAGCGTAGTGTTAAGGATAATATTAATATTTGTTGACGGACGGTAGAGGGACGAAAATTTTATGATGTACGTCTAGTATATGCGCCATGCATTGCTGTAAAAGCCGATTAATTTAGTGGTTATAAAGTCTGGTCGCGAATCCAGAATACCTGCGTTCGATTACCGCAGCGGCGGAAACTTTTCATCCTTATTTCTACAAATTTTAATATATCATTTTCACTTCTAATGTTTTTTGATTCTTGTTTCTGTATATGAATATGCTTTACTATGTTATGGGTCAATGTCCAAAGGATATTTTAAATCCTATACTAGAACAATAACTCTATTACTTAACTTCATAATGTCGAAACCATCTTAATCTCTAAGATGGTCTCGATATAATAGTTGCAGTAGATATCCAATCACCAGCAGGTACCAGAATATTTAGTAAAGACGAGTTTAAGGGCAACTATTTTAATATAGCTGTAGGCAAATTCGGAGGTTTCAACTAATTGGTTACATTAAAAATGGGAAAGAAAGCGAATGGGTAACATGTTGTAAATCAAGTTAAAAAAAATGCTTACGAGTTAAATATTACTTAACGTGAGTTGATGAATATAATGATGTCGTCAATCAGAAGAATAATTAAAATACCTTTCACCCTGTAAAGATGTACAATTGTTTCCACTATTGTGCAAAGAAGTTCCAAACCGTTTTCTTTATAAGTTTTATCTAAATATTGTTGGTTATGTAAATAATTCATTTACTATCTAAGACATTGAACCAACCCACATGTACCAGGAGATTATTACCGTTAGTGTTTCAGGCTGTTTCAAGCGGACTGTAATATATTGTATACAAATTTTATTGCCAAAGGATTTTATAAATAAAATTAATAATAAAAAATAAAGCAGCTCGCTGAGTTTCTTTCATCGGTTCTTCTCAGGTGGCTTTTATTTTCCCAACTGATAGTAATATTTTGACAATCAATAAGTAAGTGCAATGCGTGTATATGGTATGCTAGCTTTTCGCCCGCGGCTTCGATCGCGTTGAAGCCCTTAAATAAATATCTATCCCCTTTAAGAACCCTTTATAACCCTTTTTCCAATTAAAAAATAGCCTATGTCCTTTCTCAGGCTCTAGACTATCTGTGTACCAATATTTCATTTAAATTTCATTTAAATCGGTCCAGTAGATTTGGCGTGAAAGCGAGACAGACAAGCAGAGTTACTTTCGCATTTGTAATATTAAGTATGGATTGTATCTGGCTTCCATATTGTTTTTGGTCGGATGAGGACTAATCCGAAAAATCCGACCTTGTGGTAACTATTAGCTTAAACATCTTAAAAAACTTGTTGTAATGAAAAAAATATTACACGCTGCGCGCAAGCTCGGTCCATTTTTACTTTCTGCTGGACTGATCCGTCAAACATATGACGCTGTTCATAAATTTAAATGACAACGAACGCGTAGCGACCTCCATCTTGCGCGTCGATTTCAGCTGATGTGCTAAAATGTATTCAATGTATGTAGGTTAAATAAGCTGATGTAATTAAGCTGATCAATTAATGGTTTGAAAGGAGGAAAACTAAGAAATTGCGATACATTCCACTTTATTAAATACAAACTAAATTACATGCTAACAGATAAAAACAGACCATGTGGCGTGGTGCCAAGAACGCTATCTGAATTTACTTATGCCTAACTTTAGAACGAGAAAATAACCAACCCCCTTGTCTCCAATCACAGCAATTTGGACGTAAATATTTCAAAAATTTTGGAGGTTCGAGGACGCCACGGAACTAAGGTTTCATCAAATTACAAATTAAACTACAAATATATAATCTGAACAAAGACACATTATTTTCACTGGAATGAAGGATGGAGTGTTGTTCGGTCCGTCTAGCATTAACGATACTCGACGCTGACTCCTGTTTGTTGTTGCACGTACGGACTCGTCCAGGGATGTATGGCCTCAAAAGAGACTGGCGTGAAGTCGAAGTATTATACTTTCATTTCGTTTAATGAGTGAGGTATCCGGGCATCTCTTATTTAACAGTTGGCAGTGCTGAGACGTCAGGAGTGTTATAGTAATCCACGGGGGCCGTAATTACTTAACAACAGGTGAAATTAATTGACAATCTAATAGGTGCATAGATGAATATGGCAACAACAACATGAACTTTCACAATATGTATACATGCCTTATAGCAGCTGCTCTGAACTTCATGTAAACAAAAGCCTTGAACGATATTTTGCAAGATCCAATAGCACTGATCGATCATAATTCTCAATGAAGTAATTAAATGCCGACACATTTCATTAATCATTATTATTATGAACAGTTTATCACTACCATATTACGTGATATTACTATATATAGAGAATTCGGTCGAAAGTTCTCGTTTAGCTCTTATTAAGATCGTATATATTTTTTACTCCAAAGTCGAGGAAAAGTTTTTAATAAAAACATTGAGAAACACCTTGTGTATTAATTTAAAATTCAGAAGGTTCGCTTGACCGGAAGCAACCTTAATAATAACAAGGTTAGAACAAATGGTAGGAGTTAAAATTGTTCCGAGATAATTCGCTAAAAGATAACAGAGCTTTAATGTGAAACACACAAATTGTGTTTTTTGTACCAAAAAATTGTACGAACATTCAGTTTCTCACAATGATTTATTACGAATTTTAAAAGAACTTGAGAGATGATTCCACTTTACTAATATATAACAAGAAATAAACGCCAT